AATCTTTCAATACCAAACGATTAAAAATTTTTGCGAGAGTGTAACGTGTGTTAGAACCTGATGGAATTAAGCCACAAATATTTAACGGAGGAAGACAGACTTCCTTTACACTTCAATTCGAAGTAATTTACCTTCGGTATTCAAAAAATAATTTCACTTACTTCACTACCACCTGTCCCGGGTACAGGACCTTCCCAGTTAGGTGGTGGACCTCCATATTTCCTCTGTCCCGAGGTGATATCTAACGTATAACCAGTTCTCTCTAATAGAGCTTTTATCTTCCCTTCGTCAGCTTTGCTGGGTGCTCCCTGGTTGCTAGTGGTATCAGCGCCTGTCGTAGAAGACTTTGTTACGTAGGTTTTCATCACTCCACAAAGAAAAGCGCTCTTATTTTGCACATGAGATAAGTCACTGTTCGCAAACTGATCTAATACTTCCAAAGCGCCTTCTTGATTGAATTCGCGAAGAGCTTCGAACGCCCTGTCATCGAGTTCTTCAGGAGAAAGAATCCCCAAAGCAAAGATTTCAGAAACACGTTGAGCAACACTCTCGCTGAGTCCTTGGTTAACGAGCATTTGAGGCTCCATCTTGTCGCATAAAACGGTTACAAACAGAGCTCAGATGAAATGCATAGAATGATCTCGACACAAGACCTTCGAAATTTACAGCAGCGTCACGAAGCACTAGGTCGCACGCTTCGTTTGAAAACGTGCTCTGTAAGGGGTGGACGCTTATATCCGGCAGGGGTGGCGAGCAAGACTTCCTCCCTACCCTCCCATAGATAGTAGCCGTCATGGTTTCTGCTAAGGCCATCGCCTTTCATTTTAGAAGTAATATTCTATACACTTCCTGGTTTTTTTTTTTTTTTTCGGTTTTGTTTTGTTTGGCACTTGCAATTTTTTTCATAGGTGAATTTTTGATCCAAAATAATCTGAAGGGCCATAGAAAGAAAGAAACTCTTAAATTGAGAGAACTTGTGCCTGTCTCACCCCAAAAAAAAACCAACGAAAAAGAGCTTGAGCTTTACTTTCCTTTTTTGAGTCAAATTCATGCAAATGGAGAGCACTTCCTGTTCATTCTTTAAATCATATATCTAAGATTTCATAAATCACATCTATTTTTGATTTTTTTTCCTACACATTTTGTTTAGAATAACACCAAAAAACACTAAGATGAATTTGGGCAGAACTGTTTTCTGTACCCTCATTAGTCTGGCATTTTAATGAAAACTAAATGAAAAACATATTTCTCCAAAGAAAGAGTTATCATCACTGCTTCCAGATAAAACTTTCTTAAGCACTGTCCAGAAGGCATTGAAATTCGACAGTTAAAAATTTTCTTGAGCCAAATAAATAACCAGAGGCATTGCATTAGCTTTAGGCTTCTTATTGACATTTCATGACCTTTTTACTTGTTTCGCTGTTAGTACTCAAAATAACAATGAAAATTCGAAAGTTAAGTAGCCCGATTGTCAAGGTGGGAGTGGTCCCTGATAGGATTGTTTTTAACAATGATTGATGCTTCCACAACCTGAAAAGAAGTCATCAATCATGAGAGTCATTTAAAAATAAAGAATCCAGTGGATTGCAAATGCTGTTCCCCAGACGATAGATCGGTCTGCTATTCTAGACCATTTTGAGGCATTCTTGTGAGCAAAGCTTGTGAGAACAGTAAATTTAAACTAAGAAATCATCGGGCGGAAGAAGTTCAGGTATTTCGTTAAAACCTGGTATCAAAAACTTCCACAAATTCTCTCTGCGATATAGCAAGAGTTTACGAAACAAAAATTTCTTTCGTTGCAAGCACCTGCCGAATAAAATGTTTGTAAACCATTCCTTACAAGTTAATTTTTGACAGGTCTTTAAAAAGTCGATCATGGACATGTCTACAATGAGAAGAAAAGTGTGAAAGGAACACAACATCAAGATAAAGGCAAACAGGAAGCTTACAACAAGGAACATAACGGCGTAGTCTCCAAATTCACCGCAGATTCCAGCTGTGTACGAAGGTGAATCGGAAGGGTAATCTAGCATACAAACGACAAACGGCGTGTAAGTACAGTATGCAGCGAACAAAAGCCCCAGGGAACAATACACTAGGAACAAGTAAAAGTGAGCGTAGTTATTCAATCCAACGCAGTTATTGGTGAACGGACAATGATGCGACATTAACATCACACAAGAGTTGCACGAACTACAATGGTGAGTCCCTTTGTCACGCACACGAGTACACTTGGCACAAAACTTTAACGATTCCAGATGGATATCTGTATCTTCTTCGAGCTCTTGCCGTGTTTCTGGATAGCCTGGCGAAACAATCATCGCCGCCAAGTAGTTGAATACCATGTTGAGCCAAAGATAGCAAGCGGTGATGATGTAGCAAACACCTTTGAAGGACGAATAGGGGTTATCGACTTCTATGGGCAAACTCTTTAAGAAGAAGAACCAAATTGCGGAAGCAAATATAAAAAGAACAGGCGTAATCTGCAATCCTTTCAGAAACCTATACAGCCAACTTTTTCTTGAACCACGAGGGAATAACGTTTGTAAGCTACTGATAATAAACACGCCTTGAATCAATCCAACAGTCAAGATCACAATCCAAACAAACGCCATCTTGGCTAAGATCACGAAAGTAAAACTGGGAACGAGTTTATTTCCTGGTTAGCGTTCGTTTCGATAAAGATGGCGTTCGTCGTGATTGCATTGAGCGCCAGTATGGCAGTCGTTGTTATAGGCGCTTTCGTCTTCCAGATCCTTCCAAGGCTGTTTCCAAAACTCAAGACGTTCTTACCCTCGCGAGCTACGATCAGCTATCTGCAGATTGTCCCCATAAGCTTTATTTTCCCTACTCTCATGTGGCTGTTCTTCTCAGTTTACGTCCACGCTCACGTACCCGGGGACGCGTTCTCCTCGTTGCTAGGGTGGTGGCACACTTTCTTCACGTGCTATATGATGACTAACGCGGTTTTCTATTACTACATGACCGTCTTCGTTTGCCCAGGGTATCCACAGCATCAGGATGCCTACACCCAAGACAGATGTTTCGTGAAAAGCTTCCAAATTTGCGTCAAGTGTCGACGGGTTCGAAACGCAGGAACACATCACTGCAGCTGGTGCCACACTTGCGTCGAGATGATGTGTCATCATTGTCCTTTCACTAACAACTGCATCGGCCGTCGGAATTATATCTACTATTACACCTTCTTGGCATATGCGTTCTTTGGTTTGTCGTATGCATGTTACCTTGCTTATTTTCCGTTTTCGAATTGTCTCTCCGGATATGCTCTGAAGAAATTCAAAGAGACACTGGTTAGCATGCCTCACCTGAGTGTCCTCAATCGCTATTCACCGCGTTCGCAATCAGCGAAATCGATGTGGGATACTTTTAACAATATGGAAGTTGGCGAAGGCTGCGAAGAAATTCAGGATTACGCCATCTTGTTTGCCCCAACAGTTGCAATTACCGTATTCCTTGGAGCATTATTTTTCTTTCAGTCATTCCTTCTCCTCGCAGACATGTCAATCGTCGATTTCTACGACTCTCTCTCCAAGGCGTCTTCATTCCAAGACCTTCTTCGAATTTGGTATGTCAGCATTTTCAAGCGAAAGAAGTATCGGTTTATGCAGTTGATCCAGAACAAAAAGAGCCAGTGGTGGAGATTTTTCGTCCCTTGTCCCACCAATGTGGAGAATGACTTACCTCCTAAGGACTTGTAGGGGGGGACTCTCTTACGCTGAATATAATCATCAAAAAAATCATCTTAAAAGTACTTGGGATATTTTTTGATTCCATTTATGTTATTTTTAGTTTTAACCAAAAGGGAACTTTGTTCCTTCTCCTTTCACCATAGATGTTTACATTGCAAATTCTCACTTAAGCCTCTAACTCTGAATATCAAAGTGCTAATTCTCTGTACCAGCTGGTACACATTTCCTTGTGAATTGGTTGCAAGAATTTGGTATTAGGTTCAGAATATAATTTGTACTGAATAAGTTTGAGTATTCTCATTAACTATTTGCTGGATAAATGCATTGTTATTATGGGGAGAAGTTACATGTTTATCACTTCTTGGAGATAAAGGGTTAATAAATACATCTTCCTTCTTTTTGGTCCAATCTTGGACCAAGATCTCCTTTTGTTCTCTTATGTTCTCTTGATGTAGCACTGTAACTTCTATCAAGATAGGGGAGGGTAACCATTTCAGAAAATGAGAGTTTTGTTTTGTGGATTGGTGGAATCAACATATCTCAAGTCCTTGGATTTGCAGAATGCAAGACAAGGGAAAAGGCTAAATTTATTTAATCACT